GGTAGATAGAGCAGAAAATGAAGTAATAGTAGGGATCCTATCTTTTTTTTTTTTTGAAATGGTAGCGGAAGACGGGACAGAGGATGATTGAGAAGTCAACACAAACGGCAAATAAACTTTCTGTTGTTACTTTATTTACTGGCTTTACTTCCGTTAGTTAATTTAGTTCCTTTTGGCACTGTTCGTACGAACTTCAGGGGACAGAGATCCTGCTGTTTGGATCTTCTCCCTTAGTCCTACCCAGAACCACTTCTGCACTAGTGGCAGGCAAAGGGATCATGAGAGATAGGTGTCCAAGATGGAGCCAAACTGTGAATTTTACAACTCTGATCCTCAACAGGCACGATGAAACTAGAAGCCAGAGCCAAGTAAGCATTTTTGCTAATTTTGGCCTTCTCCTCTGGACAAAAGATGGAAAGATGACCAGTTTCTCCACCCTTGCAATAAGTTGGTTTTCAGCCAATTACAATGACCGGCAGTTTACGTTCTTATGCGCCCAAACAGTTGGGGGACGGAGGAGAAGACTTATCGATCCAACATCATGTCGGGCCCCTCATTTACAATGTTGCTATATTGCATAAAATATGCGGCTAGATTTTTCATAGAACATAGCTCGAGGCCTCATATAAAGCTTCAATGCTTGCCCTGGTATTCAGTTCTTTCGTTATCAAATCATTTCTGGCGAGAGCTAAACACTCTTCAGCTGTTGGTAACAATATATTCCTCATGACGACTTTTATAATTTGTTGATGCTTAATAACCTAGGTTTTTTTTTGTTTTTTGTTTTGGTTTACTTGTGAATTTTCTGTTGTGCATGTGTTTTTTCTAATGATTTATAGCATATTTTACTTGTAATTATAGCGAAGTTTTAGAGTATTTCTATTGAATATTTTGCTTGATCAGGGAGGTGTTTGTCGATAAGTTTGATGAATATTTTACCCATATTTGTTTTTACGTTTTTATTGTACATTTTTTCATGTTACTTTTTCTGCTGCATTTTGTTGGCGTGAATGTTAGTTTTGCCGTAAGATCATTTTTTTTTAGTGCTGTTTCATAATCAAGGTTTTGGTTCATCGAAGATGTTTTCGAATGTGTAGTTGGTGCAATGGTTAAAAGCTCGGAATGAGAAATCGGCGATCCGAGTTCGAATTCCCATCGAGATCGTTGTATTAATTTCGCACATATACCGCTGGGAAAGGTACGAGTTAATCTATTCTCCCCTTAGCTATGAGTTAAATAATATAACAGACTGGACTCTCTAGCCGTGGTTGGCAACCTGTATGTGGGAAGGACAACTCTGAATTCAAAACCATATGTGTCTCTAGTGGGGCACATACTTGACCTAACTAAGTTTCGCTAAGCATAGTTGGCTTTGTGGGTGTCTAAAAAACAGAAATGGACCTGAGCAGATGGATATGTTTGGAAACGAGCAGTCACGGATAAGATCAGAATTACACTGTGCTTTCAAGTCAAAACAGTTCTGATGATGATCTTTTAGCATTAGGAGTTTTGGGATAATCTATGGTTAATGGATTTTGGGCTTTCAACAGAAACATTCTAAAACTTAAGAATAGTTTCACTGAAAATATGCAAGAAATCATAAAAAAACACAACAGAAAAATCACCAGTACACCCAGATTCCCACAAACTCTACCTGAAATTATAGAAAATTCGAAAACACACTAAATGGTAACTGTTTGTAAAACAACTAAATGTACGAAGCTGCAGTAATATTCAAAGGGAGCCAAGAAAAATACAAGAATAACAGACGGTCCCTGGAATCAGCGAAGCAAAACATGATTTAACAGCAAAAATATGCAAATAGCACAATACTCAAAAATCCTTATGTAAAGGTTTCCCCCAATGGAAGCAACTACCACATGACCGTGACCAAAGAGAACCTACAAAAAATCATTGGCTGTAGTTTGACCTGGAGAGAATGGTATCCGCCAGGTCTACTTCCCCAATACATACTGCACATGAATGAATGCCTCTCCGGCTTCCAACCCAGATATTTAGAAGGAACTAAGACCACACATGGGATAATGAAAATCTCTTTATCTGAAGTCTGTTTGGAACGTACCAGTTTGAACATCTAGAAAATCTGTTGCACAGTATTGATATATAATGGAAATCAATCAGTAGTAGTATTACTGGGGTGGTGTTATTCAATCAGAAGAAAAATGCCATTAAATGACCATGGGTATTGTGTGAGTGCTGCATTAAAAGTTTTGATTTCTCTTAACGCATATTTTCTTTAATAAGATTTCTCGAATATTCAGACCAGTAGATGAAAATAAATATACTGTTTTAAAGACGCATCAAGTGAAATATGTGTATCCACTAAAAATAATTTTTCAGTAATAACATATGCCGGATTAATAAATAAAAAATCTATCACTTCTTTAGAAATTGTTTGTTTACGTTAGGATACGAACCGGAGCAGATATGAATGTTTCAAGAACCTAAGAAAGATTTGCGTTTATAAGGCACTATTCAACTTGATCATCGCCGTACTTCGTGGTTAAGACGGTCTAAAGCACGTCGGATCTAATTTCAGTTTCTCCTGCCAAGGGGGACGCAGATTCGTCTGCTGCCGGAGAACAATTATTTTTTTGATAAAATTTCTCGAATATTCAGACCGGTAGACGAAAATAAATAAATATACTGTTACGAGGATGTCACTCAAATATGAGTATCCACTAAAAATAACTAAAAATAAATTTTGTCGGATTAATAAAGACCCATCACTTTAGAAATTACTTTAGGTTTGAATACGAAACTGAGTGAGGGAGAGTGTGAGAGTGTTTGTGAGAGGGGGAAAGAGATTTTGTTGCTTTATTGTATCTTAGATAATAGTATCTTATGTAATTATTTAGAAAATTATTTTAACACATAAACCTATATCTGCCACTTGTGAAGAACCTTCGTTAATACTCGCTGCGGCACGTATTGTGCATATTATATTATTGTTTGAATATGAGATGACGTTAAACGTTCAATAGGTTTCGGTTATTCTTTGTCCTTTGTCCTCTCACGTATTCACGTCTTTCACAAAACGTGCAAGTTGTGTTTGCACGTTACAATACAATACTAAGGTGCATTTGAAGGTGACCTACTTCGAAAGGAATACGAATGTCCTTTGATTCAAACCTTATAATAAGTCTTAAGTTTGATTTCCATTAGTTTATATATATATATATATATATATATATATATATATATATATATATATATATATTAGCATGATATTACGGAATAAAAATTTAAAAATAATGATAAAACATTTTCAGTTCTACAAATTCGACCATGATTTGCTTTAGATGAACCAAATACAAAGACAGACTACAAAGGAAAAGTTAGCAATTAAATTTAGCAAAGAAACCAAATTAAATAAAAACCGCTATTGAATTAATATTGATACAGAATATTAATTAGATATTTACAGACGATTGCTTTTAATTACAATCTCCGACACCAGGGCTTCACTAATGTATCATATTGCTCAGATGTGCCCTTTTATTACATTACTTCTGCGGTTTTTGCCACAAATCAGTTACAGTTGTCAGTTTTCTTGCCCTAACATTATCACTGATGATCTTCGAAAGATTCTTAATTGGACTGAGATCTGGACGTTGGGTGTACCATGCCATAACCTCTACATTTTCAACATCAAAGAACTGATTTACCATTTTTCAGTATGACAAGGAGCATTATATTGCATAAGGTCGGTCCAAGGAAAAAAAGTGATGCTTTTATAGAAGAAACAACATACTGTTTAATGATATTCTTATACACTGCAGTATTTACATTGCTATTTCATTAAATGAATAAGCCAGCACCAGAGAACACTAACCTCTGAAATTAACTGACGTTTTTTTCACACATTTGAGAAACTTACATTTACACTGTCTGCTATTGTGCTTGCAGTTAGAGTTAATCAAATTAAACTTATTTTAATCGCTGAAGAACACCATTGGCTAATTTTCATAAGTCCAGATTACATGCTCATATACAAAGTTTAATCTAGATTTTAGGTTCTTTTTTTAGCTTATGACAAATTTGACAACAGGAGAATGTGCATGAAAACTTGCTTCTCATAAATGGCGTGGCACTCTTTGCAGGAATACTTCCTAATGTTTACAACTGTGCCAAAACGGTCCACCATGAGACTTTGAATCGCTTGATTCTATTCATAATGCTCTGCAGGAGGTCCTGCAACTTGCTTGGATAGTGCGACAGCTACATCTGTTCTCCCCATTGGAAATACATGAGGCATGATGGGACGATGCCTGACTAGTTCAGTTAACACCTACAACTACTGCTGCTCCAGAAAGTGCTAAAGGCATGGAATAATGCATTGCTGGACGAGTGTGTCAATCGTATGCAAGAGTACAGAACTGTGTTAACAATAAAAAGGATATACAGTGTATTAATATATATTCTGAGTACTGTTGATTTACTCCTTATTTCTGAACATGTGAACGTATTGACCTTCGAATATAATCATTGGTTCTAATCCGTTTATATTACCAGTACGTTTTATCTTAAGTAAAATGAAACATAAATTTAGGCTATTGCAATTTCATTTCCGATCAGTAAATAATCTATCTATCTATCTATCTATCTATCTATCTATCTATCTATCTATATATATATATATATATATATATATATATATATATATAAGCATAATGTATGATAGTTTTACTTATGTTGTTTGTTATAACAATTGACAAAAAATAGGTTAATATATTGTGAAACCAATTAAATCTAGGATGAACCTTGATATACATTTCTCAATTTAAAAGTGTGTAAACACATAAGAGGTTTGGTCGAAATTGAAACACATATTCAGATATTCAAGGTATGGCAATTTCATTTGTCAGCTCGGGCAACGTAAGGCGATGGAACAATAGAATTAATATATTATTTTGGGTCATAAGTAATGTGTCTATATTAGTTTGTTCTTATGTATGTATGTATGTATGTATGTATGTATGTATCTATCTATCTATCCATCCATCTATCTATCTATCTATGCATCTTCAAAACTATCAATCTATCTATGCTTATTCATATCTATCTATGCTTTTTCATATCTATCCATGATTGTTAATATCTATTTGTCTATCCAATTATCGATTCTTGTTCATATCTATCTATCTATCTATCTATCTATCTATCTATCTATCTATCTATGTATCTATCTATCTATCTATCTATCTATCTATCTATCTATGTCTATTCATATCTATCTATCTATCTATCTATCTATCTATCTATCTATCTATCTATCTATGTCTATTCATATCTATCTATCTATCTATCTATCGTTGCTTCTATCTATCTATCTATCTATCTATCTATCTATCTATCTGTGCTTGTTCCTATCTATAATTCTATCTATATAGTTATACTTGTTCATATCGCTCTATAAAGGCATATACATATTTAGCTACTTATCTATGCTTGTTCATATCTATCTAATTATCTATCTATTTATCTATCTATCTATCTATGCTTATTCAAATCTATCTATCTATTATTGTTCATATCTATCTCTTTCTCTCTCTCTATGCTTTTTCCTATCTATCTATGCTTATTCAAATCTATCTATCTATTATTGTTCATATCTATCTCTTTCTCTCTCTCTATGCTTTTTCCTATCTATCTATCTATCTATCTATCTATCTATCTATCTATCTATCTATCGTTGCTTGTATATATCTATCGGTGCTTGTTCATATCTATAAATCTATCTATATATCTATACTTGTTCATATCTGTGCTTGTTCATATCTATCTGTCCATCTATCCTTGTTCATATCTATGCTTATTAATATCTATCTTTGTATTAATGCTTCTTTATATCTATCATATCTGTGTGTTCATATCTTTCTATCAATACTTTTTCATATCTATCTATGCTTGTTCAAATCTATCTATGTTTGTTTATATCGATTTTTCTTTCTATTCTTGTTCATATCTCGCTATCTATGCCAGTTCATTTCTCTCTCTATATCCATGGTCATATCTATCTATCTATCTATCTATCTATCTATCTATCTATCTATCTATCTATCTATCTATCTATCATGTTGTGTCATAAGTAATTTCCATTTTTGTATACAATTTTTCATGATGGCAGTAGCATCCTAACTCTTTATCATATGTGGTAATTCGGAATATATTTAGATTATACTAACATAACTCAGTTTTTGCATTGCAGTGGCAGCGTAAACAGTGGATTAGATAATAAATTTCTTAAGTGCATTAATAGAGGTATTGAATGTGTATTTACATCACATAATGTTATTAGCGTTCAAGCAAGGGAATAGCGTTATGGCGACATCTAGAAAATATGTAGTGTGTATGGCCAAGGAATTATAAGTGACGGGCAAGTAAAAATGTTGTCTGCAGGGTTTCGTTCTGGCGAAATGTCTTTGGAAGATGAACCCAGACTAGGGTGTTCATCGGATTTAGTTGATAAAAGTTTAACGTCATTAGTGGGAATCAGTCCACGTCAAAGTACTCGAAAATTATAAGATGTTAGCAGATCACAATCTAGCATATCCCGACAATTAGAAAATATAGGAAAGTTAGCTAGTTTTATTTTGGCGTTTTTCATGGTATAAGCGAAAAGAACAACATGGTTTGTTGAAAAACAAAAAACCAGAAATTATCTATTATTAGCAAAATATAGAAACCCAGCAAAGGATATTATTTACCTTGATTTATTGTTATAAGGATTTTGTACATGTGACGCCTTAGTAACTGATGCCCAATCAAAATTAAAATTAGGGAAACTTATCTTGATGATCCTAAAAGTTAACCCGATTTCTGGTTCTTCTTTCCTTAACGTGATCTGTGATTAGATAGAACGGGTCCATGAAGTTGAATTAAAAAAATTAAACGTAAAATCAAAATGTGTCTTAGTCAAGAGATAAAACCGAAAAATAATAGTAAAATTTTAATCAAAATGTACCGATCTCATTGAGCGAGGAAAAGTCAAGGAAAACTGATAAAGATTACCTCACATACACGTATGCCTAACGCACGTGTACACCCCATCGCTCCCTCTCACTCATATATAAACACACACACACACACACACACACACACACACACAAGAACAAATAAAAGAGAAAACAAATAGAACAAAAATCAACATTTCGTAGCATTTACTTTTTAAAAAAGTGCTGAATATAAAGTAGAGAAAAATATTATTATTATATTTTTATTATAAGAGATTACATCATTTTAAATCGCTACAAAAAAGATTTCATGTTTCAATACTATGATTGTACTTCTTCAGGCGATGGTTGGTAACTATTGACAACATGATTTTTTACGGAAATTTAAAAACAAATCGTTACCTTTTTCCGAAAGTTAAAGGTTGGGGCATGAGGTCAGAATTAAAAAAAATATACTTGTAGGTATGTCTCGATTAACCAGTTAAATGTCTGATCTACACTAAATAGAAAAATAAAGTCAGAAGGGTGGAGGTGGGTAAGTTATTTTTCATATCACGATAAACGGCACATAGACATGACATCATTGACGATTGTGGAGAATATGGTAGTGACAAATGTATCGTCATTGTAGCCAAATATGTCGTTCTATTTGTTGAAGTGGTAGGATAGGTTAATCAGACGTAAAGTGAACAGAAAATTTTTTAAAAATTATTAAAGGGACCTGTAGATAAATTAGAAATGTGGAACATCTATATACGATGCTAATAATACTGAATAGACAGCAAAACATAGAAATATTTAAGTTGAATAAATCAAATAAGGTAATTTACCCGTAGATGATGGACCATTATATACTAATAAAGTTATGGCTATAAAATTGTAATACGTAATTGTTTTTTTATAATAGATTTTAACTATATTTTAATGCAAAAGATCTACTGCGTCGACAGTTTACTGTTAATACACTCCTTTGGTTTAGCAGAGCTTTTTTTGTTAGCAAATTTGATTATTTGAAATCTTTCCTGTAAACATAGGAAACACAGTTCATTTAAAGATTTACAAGTTCTAGTTTTTTAATATTTTCTATTTTACTGTAGGTTTTTTTTTAAAAAACTTCTTTTAAGTTCTAAAAATATTTAGAAAGGGACGTCCTATTTCTGTACGCGTTGTTGTTGAAATATATCACATATATTATCTTTCAACAACAAATAAAATAAAATATATTACATGTATTACCTTTGAAAAAAAATATATCTAAATAAAATTTCTTGCATATATAATATTTTAAATAAAGTATATTACATGTATTATAAATATAAAATATATTACATATATTATAAATAAATATATATTACATAGATATTATCAATAAAATATATTATATATATTATATTTCAAATAAAATATATTGAATATATTATATTTCAAATAAAATAAAATATATGACATATATAATATCTTTCAACAACAACGCGTACAGAAATAGGACGTTCCTTTTTAAATATTTTTGCAACTTAAAAGAAGTTAACAAAACCCCTACGGTAAAATGGAAAATATTAAAAAAAAAAAACAAACTAGAACTTGTAAATCTTTAAATGAACTTAAAAAATTAAAATAATCAAATTTGCTAACAAAAAAGCTCTGTTAAACCAAAGGAGTGAATTAACAGTAAACTGCCGATCTTTTACCTTAAAATATAGATAATCTTTTTATAAAACAGAATTAGCTATTACAATTTTAGAACCATAATTTTATTAGTATATAATGGTCCACCCTCTACGGACAATTACCTTATTTGGTTTATTATACTTAAATATTGCTATGTTTTACCGTCTATTCAGTATTATTAGCATCGTATATAGATGTTCCACATTAAAGAAAACGCTAGGTTATTCTAACAGGATAAACTACTATGTCATCGGACCCAATTTGTTCGAGGAGCATATGGGGAACTTCCGAAGAATAGTGTGGACACTACATCCGCTGGATGTGAACACAATCGAACATTTATGGAACGTTGGGGAGAGTTCCGTTTGCACTCAAGATCTTGCACTTACAAATATCAGTCCAAAAATAGTGGAATCAATGTCACGTTGTGTTACTTCACTTCTCTAGCTTGAGAACTAGGTACTTATTCTATGATTTTGGTATATAAGTGCATATCTGTACGTGCGTGTATTTCATCATTAATGTTTGAGATTTGTCATTCCATTCGCTCAAGGTCGCCAGGTAGGTTCTGCGTTGCTTTCCTCAAGCCTTTTTGCCTTCAATCTGTCCCGTGTGTATCAAATTTTGAAAGCTCTCTTTCCTCATTATGTGCCCATAAATTTAAACTGTCTTTTCCTGATATTAAGCATGTTTCTCTGTCGTCATTGTCTCTAGAATTTCGTCGTTGCTCACATGTTTGGTCCATGGTATTCTCAGCATCCTTCTGTAGGGCCATATTTCTGTTTTTTCAAGTCTCTTCTTCATCTGTGAAGAGATTGTCCAGCATTCACTGCAATATAGGAGAACTGATACTACATAACATTTAAATTAGTCTTTTCTTTGTTTCGAAGGATATTTTTTCTGTTTCTTAAATAATTAAAAAAAATCGATGTTTTTACCAGGTTAGCCAAAGATTTTGAACCAAGGCTACAGATATATTTTTTTATTTAGAGTTTACAAATATCAAGCTGATTTCTGTGCACCTCGGGGTATATAGAGGTTTAATACTTGATCTTATCAACAGAGTTAGAGCCGATTCTTTAAATAAACACCACTTTTACCAAATCAGATTCAGTGTTCGACCCAAGGTTATAATATGCCGGCCAATGTTTAGCGTCACCTTCTTATACTGTTGCTATTTATTTTCTTTGTCAAATGTCATCGCTCTGCCCTTCAAGAAACTGATACCATATTCAAATGTCAACCCAAGGAGACTGACATATAGATATCTGTCATACGTCGAGGAAAGACGTGGGGAAAGTGGCGCTGTTGATGGGCTATTAAAACTGCCTGCCTTGTTATCTCTGTCAAGTAGCTATCTTTGACAACGCAAATACCAGAAAAGAAATCAGTGCTATTAGAACTTCTTTCATCATCAGCTAGCTCGTGGTAATAAGCCTGACACTTATTCTCTCATCACTCAGTGTTTCGACCGTTTTTTTTCTGCCAACTAAACGAATTTCAGAACAGAAGAAAGATAACTTCATTAAAGAAAAACGAATTAATAAACCCATTGTTTCGTCTGTGGTGAGTCCAATCTCTAGATATATGAATTAGACAAAGGATGAAAATTTGACATTAATCTGAAAGTAAATGTTAAGTAAACTGACAACTGAACGTTTATTTTAATCTATTGTGACTATTCTCTTCATCCTCTCTAATATCCATTGCTACTGACTTCTACTGCTTTTTCGTCTTTCATTGTTGAAACACAGGTTCTCATATGATCATCATCGTTAAGTAGGGTCGAGCCTGGTCAGTACTTAGATGTTTGAGTGCTTAGGAATACTAGGTGCTGTAAGCTTGGATGTGCGGTTGGTGTAATAGATAACGGTAATGGATATCAGAGAGCTGAGTTCCAATTCCAACCGGGTTCGTTATATTAAGCGCAAATACCCTTGGGAAAGGTATGAATTCACCTCTTCTCCCAGATATGGATTAATTAGTAAGACTTGTATCAGTAAATCGTTATTATCTAAAAAAATGTTCTAACACTCTAAAAATATACTCTGGCTTTAAGTAACTCGCTAAAGGTTGATAAGTCGTAAAAAAACAAAAACAAAAAAACAAAAAACAAATGAATCATTCAAAACTTTTTTGCAGCTACAGTACCAGAATTACGAACGGAATCCGATTATCACATTGAAGCAGTATAAAAACTATGATACTAGGTTATATTTTCTCAGTGATTTATCCGATTGAGTTTATCTGTTCATCGGGAAAACCGGTGTACATGACCTGGCTAATTTGCCTATATAAAATGGCCAGTCCTCCTACTGTCTTTCTTTCCTAATGTTCGATCTATGTGATTATGTTGTAAAAGGCTTTGTTCATCAATAAAATACTGATTTACTGATGTACTGTCGTGTGTGTGTGTGTGTGTGTGTGTGTGTGTGTGTGTGTGTGTGTATCCACAAGATGGTACTGAAAAAAAAGATCGATGGTAAATTGGTTATATTTCTAAGAATGGTTATTTTTAACTTGTCCCTCGGTGTGTGATCTTTGATAATGCGCATCATATTGTTTTGGAATATTTCAACTAGAGCTGAATGATTTGGAGTCCATATCACAGTCTAAACGTTATAAAACAATTGGAAGTATGTATATAAGGTAAATGTAGAAATCATTAATGAAAACGCGTTGATCCGCACATCGAAATATTTATTTTAGTTCTCTATTCATCTATTTAAAGTTCTACATTTAGGGATTTTACTGTCAATTTATTATTTTATTACATTCAAAATCGGTCGTCTGCTTTTGACTTTTTCAAGATTTCTTGGTGCATCTGACGTCACGCGTGCGTTTGTAAATTGAGCTCGGATAACCTTCATTGTAAGTTCGCTTTCACAATGATGTTTATAGCACATGTCTGGAATCATGATTCATAGTTTTGCATTTTATTTATCTTTCCCAAAAATAACAACACAATGAAAACATAATGATGCAAATTACATCTTAAAACAAAACTGAATTTTCTTTTCTCACGTTCCTTCACTGATGATGACTCATTTGCGTCGAAACCTTGGAACAGTCCGAAATCAATTTTGGTCAGTTTATTCGCACACAACAACCACATTTGCGAAAGAATATTTTTACATTAAAGGAAAAAAGACATCATTAAATACTATAGACACAAAATGTCTATTGTTTTTAACAATATATGTTTAAAAGAACAACTACTGTACTTATATGCCGAATTTAGTATAGAATGTATACATTACTCAATATTTTATTTCACTTTTCTAAAGTCTCAATGATCATTATTAGTTTTCCTGCTTATATATATATATATATATATATATATATATATATATATATATATATATATATATATATATATAAAAAATATAGTTCTAAGGTATGCTATGTTTATGGGTTAAAGTGCTCAATATCAGGGATAAAATGTATGTAAGTATAAAAGTGGACATTGAAGTCAACGACGAGCGGCGACAGTCTGTTTCATGCCTGTAAGTAATCATACACCTGATGATTGCGTATAAGCATGAAACAGACTGTCGCCGCTAATGTTGAATTCACTGTCCACTTATATATATATATATATATATATATATATATATATATATATATATATATGCTCTCTCTCACTTTCTCTCTCTCTCATATATATATATATATATATATATATATATACATAAATCGATGAGTAGATACGTCTCTGTGTATTTACGTCTGTATATAGGTAGTTATATATCTAGTTAGTTATGTGCCATGCGTGATACACGCTTGAGTGATCATGTATCTTTCGCTACATGACTGACGAGGCAGATTGTTTTCCCGTAGTAGGTTGCCATTTCTTTCTGCGGTAGACCAGTTGCCATCCAAGGCTATAGAAACCTAGTCTGTCCCACTATTTACCCATAGCTGGGGGAGAAGAAGAGCATTCATATTATTATAGCACGTAAGTGAATGTAATGGATTCGACTGGAATTCGAACTTGGCTCTCCGATTTCTCAATCCGAGCCACTATCCATTACTCCACACAGTCTACCTATACAGAGAGATACAGGTCGCACACGCACAGCAGACAGTTTTAAGGTATAAATGTTTAAAATAAAACAAAAAACATTCTTGTAAATAATCAATATCTAATTAACAAACTTGTGTTGCAACTGATTCGGTACTTTTAATCTAATAGTAGGAGGGGTGGTGAAAATTTTTCGGTCCGACCCACTACCAAATTTTAACCAAATCACCATCAAAATTATTTTAAAAGACTTCTTGGTCGTTTGAGAACTTTCCAAAACTCCTCGTGCTGTTAGAATGATTTGAACAAGCATCGAAATGATTCGATACCTTTTGTTAATCAAACAGGTTTAACAGTGTTAACTTTATGCTATCTATCTATCTATCTATCTATCTATCTATCTATCTATCTATCTATCTATCCACACCCACAAAACAACCAACGATAGAAAGAAAGAAAAATCAGTCCAATCACATAAATATGGCTATTACTTCCGGCATTCCGAAAAAGAATGATAATATTCTTATATTGTTTCACTGACCGAAACACAATCTATTGGCAACCTGAAGCATGCCTCACCGATTTGATTCAACCACACCTAAATTGTACATTTTTGTCAAAGATTTCATTTTTGGCCGATGACAAAGCAAAAATGAAAACGAGGTTCTGCAAAGTGAAAACAAAGGTGTTTTACGGATGCAACAATTATTAATACTTATTATTATCAATATTTTTATGCAGAAATTCTTTTAATAATATTTGTAAAATGCATGCCGTTTGCCTGATTCAATAAGTAATAATTTCTAGCAGATCCGTGGGTATCAACGTTCGTTTTTAACAGATTTTTATTTACGAGCCTGTGCTATGAAATATTTAGCCGCAGTAATTGCTTTACCATATTTTAAAGTGAATGTCTTTGTACAAAACCTTATGATAGATAATATTTTGTATGTATGAAGAAGAAGAAAAATCTGTATTGCTGGAAGATACAATGAAATATATTTACTGTACAATGTTTGACTTATGTGTTTAATATTCATGACTGAATTGAATGCATTAACAATAAATGAATAACTATTGTGCAAAACAAGTTCTTTGTTCATCATTATACTACAGATTTATTGATGCAGCATTTGATACTCTGTCATCTGATATCCACGCACTTTATTTTGTCTAATATTTCCTCAAATCTGACCAAATGAAATGAACAAGCTCTATATTTTTTATGTACTCTTACTGGAAGAGAGAATACAGGGAATGGAAAAGGTGGTAATCTTTTGTGCAAGGTCCGGGGAGTAAGGTGGCTGGCCATGTGTCTCCTAGTCACGTCACCGTATTGTATCCCTGTTCACCGGTGCCACAGGAAGCCTGGCATTGTCTTGGAGGAACAGTACACTCTTTCGATTAATCAATGCTAGTGCGAGTACAGGGCAATTGGTAACAACTCATAGTGCACCACTTGTCCAATATTCCACCAGATACAGAGCATGACATTGCGTGGATGTCGAGGAGGCAGTTTTGTGGTGTGTGGCATAGGGTCTCGTGGACTGGAACGCTTGGGAGTGTCATACAGGATCTACTTTTCGTCACTGGTAAGCATCCGATCAAATATCGGTACGTTGCGTACTTTATTTTAATAAAAACGATATGAAAATTGCACGCAAATAAAACAATTAAAATATTGGAACTGTCTAAAAATTAATACAGAAACTGTTTCATTAAAATGTTAATAATGAATTGCATTGAAAACTAATTAGAATGTTACTAACACGGTTTTTTTTTTAAAAACAAACCACCTAAATGAAAAAATATATATATATATATATATATATATATATATATATATATATATATATATATATATATATATATATATATATATATATATATATATATATATATATATATATATATATATATATATATATATATATATATATATATATATATATATATATATATATATATATATATATATATATATATATATATATATATATATATATTATATATATATATATATATATATATAAATATATATATATATATATATATATATATATATATATAGAGACCCGGCGTTGCCTGGGGATGTAACAGTAAGAGATAGATCAAGTATCGACCATCATAAAGACTGAAAAATAAAATTGACAAAGATTATTGTTTAAGGTTGACGGTTTTTTTTTTTTTTTTTTACGAATTAGTCAAACCCAAACTCAAACAAAAACATCGTTTTCAATCGTTATGAGTCTATCGATTGAATAGAATTTTATTATAAACATTTGTCTTGTAAATGGAATTTTTAAAGCATTCTGAATGTAAAAATAAAGAAAGTGCGCAAGACAATAAGAAACACTACCTGCCAAAAAAAAAGTGAAGTTTTGTTGAAATCCGTTGAAAAATGTAGGAAATCCGATCACATATATAAACGAACACACACACATAAACAACCTGGGTTTTATAACTCGATATGAGTTGTCCCCCTTTCATTCTGGCGACAGAATCGTGTTTTCAAAAATTGATTTCGTGCAAAAACAATTGTGTTTTTCCAATTTTTGGCGCTGTCAGAACCACCGCAAGGTAATTTTACGCAGTCCTGTGAAGTTTTGTTGAAATCGTTTGAAAAATGTAGGAAATCCATCCAATATATAAAAACGTACAGACACACACACACACATATATATTATATATTTTATATATATATATAAAATATATATATATATATATATATATATATATATATATATATATATATATATATATATATATATATATATATATATATATATATATATATATTATATATATATATTTATATATATTTATATATATATATATATATATATATATATATATATATATATATATATATATATATATATTTATATTATATCTATATATATATATATATATATATATATATATATATATTTATATATATATATATATATATATATATATATATATATTTATATATATATATATATATATATATATATATATATATATTTATATATATATATATATATATATATATATATATATATATATATATATATATATATATATATTCAAGCCAGCGTACGCTACCACAAATATGTTGAAAAATCAAATGAAAACGGTAAATCCATTACCTCAATCTTTTTAAGATATACAGCACATACGCCTATCCCATACCATAACAATCTTATCACAATTTAAACAATATTCATTTAAAAATATTTCTTGAATATTACTCGCTTACTTTTTATCAGACTTTGAATTATGAAATTTTGTGTCCTCTATACATTTTAACTGACCTTCTTATCACCTGATGAACATTTATGAACGTTCTCAAATTTAAAAGCCTTGATAAACCATTGACTTCCTCGCTTTTGTATATAAACACGGACAAGAAAATAAATTCTACACTACCTTGATAAAGTCTCTCAGAGGACGAAACACGTCGGCTAAGAAAAGTTTTTCCTCTTGTTTTCATATGTAATTATTCGTTTTACTAGTTTGTGACTGGAAGGGATAATTCCGAGGAGGATATAAATCCAGAGAGAGCTCACAGTAGACTACAGAGCATTATAATGATATTAAAAGAAGATGGAGACTAACGAAATGGATAATTAAAGTTTCTGTCTTCTTATCATATATATATATATATATATGCGATGTCTATTGCAGTGTCTGTTGTTTCCAATGATGTAAACTTGTTCTTTTGGGGTCAAGGTAGCAGTCACTAAGAGAGTTGGATTGATTTCGTGCAAAGCCTTTCCTCACTTAAAAAACTTCACGCACAGGCATTGCTTGAAAACTTCAGGATCTTACCGTGTCTTGACACAGAGGTTGGTCGTAGTCAAAAAAGCAAACCTTTTCAATGAAGGCTTCTAATAATATTAGCATCAATGGCAATAAGGGATCTGGAACTAGCTGTGAAAGGGTTTGGCCTGGCAGGTGTCCCAGGGTGCCGCAGCCTGGGCCCGATCGTTGTCCTGCTACTGAGAAAAAATGTAAGCCAATGAACATCGGTTATGGGAATGTTCGGATGTTGTTGGACTTGCAGTCATCTGTTTCACGTCCTGGGCGTAGGTCTGCTCTCGTAGAGGAGCTTCAAAGATATGAAATGAGCATAGTGGCGCTATCTGAGATAAGACTTGCTAATGAGGGTCAGTATACTGAGTTGTCTGGTGGCTACACCATTTTCTGGAGTGGTAGAGAGGATGGGTGCAAAAGGGAATCTGGTGTGGCTTTTGCCATGAAGACTTCCCTTATTGCAAGGCTAGAAGATATTCCATGTGGAGTTAGTGATCGGATCATGATGATGAGGCTCCCTTTGATCAAAGACCGTTTTATGACTCGTGAGCGTGTATATTCCGACTATGGATTCTTGCGAGGGAGACAGGATCGCTTTCTATTTGGCATTATGTGAAGTGGTTCGAAGAATACCCTCAGCAGACAAGGTTGTCATTCTTGGTGACTTTAACGCTAGGGTAGGGAAAGATTTTGAAACTTGAACTGTGATGGGAAAACATGGAATAGGAAAGTGCAATAGCAATGCTTTGCTACTGCTGCAGTTCTGCTCGGAGATGGGTTTCCAGATCAGTAGTACCATGATTCGTCAGAAGGACAAATTCAAGAACCCTTGGACCCATCCTGTCTCGAACAATGGCATATGATTGATTATGTCTTGGTAAGGAAACGTGATATGAAAGATATCTGTGGTGTCCGCACTATGCCTGGTGCCGAATACTGGACTGACCACTGGTTGGTTCGAGCAAAATTTTGATTTGTGGTTGAACCGAAAATGAGGGGTGGTGGTGTTTCTATTTCTAAGCGGTTGTAGGTCCTCTGAAGGATGAGATGGTGAAAGAAGGACTTGTAACGGCGATGGAAGGCATTCTTTGTGAAAACACATGGGATGCTTTCAAGACATCTGTTTATGAAGCCTGTGAGAAGGTGTTAGGGCACTGTGAGCGTAAACATCAAGACTGGTTTGATGATAATGACACTGAAATTCAGCATCGATTACGATGGAGCGGGTATTTAGTCAGAATAGAGGACTAACAGCTGCCCAAGCAACTCCTGTATGGCGAACTCGTTGGAGGAAAGCGACCGATTCAGAAACCGAAAATGAGGTATAAGGATTGTTTGAAATCATCTCGGTCATCAATCTTTCACGTTCATCAGATGTCTGTTCACCTTTCAGCATGGCATCTAAGGCTTTCGATTTAGCATCCAGTAAGAGCTTCCTGTGAGAAGACGTATCATTGCCTTACGTCTCTTTCTAGTTTTGTATATCTACTGAACTCATTCTCTATGCGCATGCATGCCGTTTGCTGCCACTATAGGCTCTTGATTATTCTAATATCTTTCCCAAATATATCAAGGTTGCTGGGCAGTTCCAACAGATCTGTGGTGCACTTTGTCGAACGCTTTTGCGTAGTCTATAAAACATAGGTACACGTTCTTCTGCATTTCTATTGCTCTTTCTGATAACATTGTGAGCATCAATATCGCGTTCCTTTAAAGAACCCGCATTCTTCTTGTCCTAT